TTGCGAGAAGTCCGACGCGAAAGCGAGATCCCTGTATAATTTTGAAAAGCCCTGCGCGAGAGCGCGATTTCGGAATACATTGTCAGGAAGTATCAGGCAGGAACCGTTGTTGTTATTGTTGTTGGGTGCTAATGTCTAAACAATGATTATTGTTGGACCCCCCCAAGCGCCCTGGCGCTCTCGCCTCGGCGCTGGCTACACTTTCATTGAACATGAGGCTTACGCTCGGGCTTTTGGGGGGGGACCCAAATCGGCTCCCCAACAACAACAACAACAACAACAACAACAACAACAACCACAACAACAACAACAACAACAACACCAACACCAACACCGACACCAACAACAACAACAGCAACAGCAACAACACCAACAACAACAACAACAACAAGAACAAGCACAACAACAACAACAACAACAACAACAACAACAACAACAACAACAACAACTCCAACACCAACAACAACAACAACAGCAACAGCAACAACAACAACAACAACAACGCAAGGACACTCTCTCAGGCCACCCCGGCGGGGCCCGTGGGAGTGTCCTCGCCCCAGAGGGACCCGTGGGCGGACCCCGACCCCAAGAGGGACGGACAGGGGACCGACCACGACGACGACGACGACGACGACGTCGAAGACGACGGCGATGACGACGACGGCGACGACGAGCGAAAGCGAGAGCGAGAGAGAACGACAGCAGGGCCACGAAGGGCACGAAGTAGGCCACGAAGGGCGACAGCGGGGACACGAAGGGAATGCGTATGGGGCCACGAAGAGCGCGAACGAGCGGGGCCACGAAGTGCAGATAGTGCGGGGCCACAGAAGGCAAATATGGGGCCACTAAGGGTAGCAACTGGGCCACGTAGGGACAGTGCGGGGGACACAAATGGCGACAGCGGGGCCACGAAAGGCATGCACATGGGGCCACAAGGGGCGCGACTCCTGGGTGCCTGGGTGTTGGGAGCGCGGCGCTTGGGCAAATTGTAAGAGATTCCGCCGCAAGGCCATTCTTCAGTAAGGTGCAAGCAAGTCTCCAGCGAGAGCGCGACTCCAGAGCGCCGGGAGAACGATTCTTGAATAACTTGTAAGGAAGTCCCAAGCGAGAGCGCGATTTCTGAATAAAATGCGAGGAAGTCTCGGGCGGGAGCGGGGGTCCTGGCTAAATTGTGAGGAAGTCTCAAGCAGGAGCCGTTGTTGTTGTAACCCGGGGGCCAAGGGGCCAGTTTGAGCAGGAAGATTTTCCCTGTCAAAAAACAGGGTGCGAGCGTCGAGGGGCACACTTTGATAGAGAAAAATCAATATGCACCAGTGGGGGGATCAACAATAATTATTCTTCAGAAATGAGAATTCAACAACAACACCAACAACAACACCAACAACAACAACAACAACAACAACGCTCCCGCTCGAGACTTCCTCCATTTTTACTCAGAGCTGGTGCTTTTGCTCGCCGCCGAAAATCGCCGCCCCAACAAAACTAACGCTCCCGCTCGAGAATTCTTCCCGTTTTCCCTTGGACTGGCGCGCTACTCTTTCTCTCATCGGCGCCGCCCCCAGCAAAAACAACGCTCCCGCTCGAGACTTCCTTTTTTCCCATATCCAAAGGATGGGATTCTTGTTATTCCCCATATCCGAAGGATGGGGTTCTTGCTATTCCCCATATCCAAATGATGGGGTACTCGTTCTTCTCTGACCGCGCCTGACCCATCATCATCATCATCATCATCATCATCATCATCATGATCATCATCATCATCATCATCATCATCATCATCATCATCATCATCATCATCATCCCTCCCCTCCCTCCTCCCTTTGCACTGGACGATGATGATGCGTGTCATGATGATGACCATGGTCTGGTGAGAATATGATGTGAGTATGATGGTGATGGTGAATGAGGGATGAGTATGATGACGATGATGATGATGATGATGTTGTTGATGATGATAATAATGATGATAGTAATGATGATGACGATGCTGATGCTGATGCTGATGCTGATGCTGCTGATGATGATGATGATGATGCTGCTGATGATGATGATGATGATGATGATGATGATGATGAGCAGATCTTGAGGATGTCTCGAGCGGGTTGCTGGTTTTAGCACTCCTAAAGAGGGCGACAGGGGGTATCTCACAGCCTCCGTTCGGGCCAAATGGCGGGGATGTCTCAAGCGATTTGCCTGTTTTGTTCGCGAACATCCTTCGTTTTCGGAGCAGATGTTGAGGATGTCTCGTGCGAGGCGCCTCCTAAAGGGGGGGCCGCCGCCTCCCTTCGCGCCCAGATTGCGGGGATGTCTCAGGCGGTTTGCCTGTTTTGGTCGCGAGCATCCTTCGTTTCCGGAGCAGATTTGGAGGATGTCTCGAGCGAGGCGCTCATGTTCGCCGCCCAGGGGGGCCAGATTTTGAGGACGTCTCGATCGGTTTTTTGCCTGTTTGGGTGGCCAGACTCGTGGGCATAGATTCTCCCCAGGATGTCACAGGAGGCTCCAGCGGGCTCCAGGAGCTGGAGGCCACATTCGGCGGTGGACAAACCTCCCTTTAGTAAACCTCCCTTTAGTGAAAACGGCCTGGGACCGAAACCGACGGACCTGGACCTGCAAAAATAACGGCCGCGACGCCCTCTCGCGAACCGAAAACGTCGAATTCACTAATCGACGTGTCAGGGTAGGAGGTCTATCAAACTCCGACACATGAGGTCCCAGGAGGCATCAGAAAGCCACAGGAAAGCTCAAGAGGCCACAGCATGTCCCAGGAGGCTCAGGGAGGCCCCAGGCAGCTCCAAAGGGCCTCAGGAGGCCCCAGAAGGCAACAGGAGGCCCCGAGAGGCCCCAGGAGCAGGA